AGTTAAGAGCAGCATTGGGTATAGCTGAGGATGATGGGAGCATCTCCTTTGAGATGCAGGATGGTGAGCTGTAGACTCTGGTGGGGTTTCAGGAAGTGAGTAAGACAAAGTTCAAAGCAATGCCATTCATCCAAGATGCTTTTTGCTTTGAGGAAACAATTTGGTGGATAAAAGTGTCAAAGAGGGTTCTGGGAAGTCTGTCTGGGGACATGACTTTGCTGATAGTGTGGGTGTCTCATACTTGTACAGATATAGAGTTAGAATATGGGTGAATATCTGAATATAATTTAAAATGCAAAAACAAAAAATGGAAAAATTACAAAAAATTATGGTTTATACACATTTTTTTTCAAAATTAGTCTTCTGATTTTCATTTGTAGGTAAAAGTGTACAAGGTAAAAGCTGTATTTTCTGCAAATATTTTAGGAGTGATACCTATTCCTATTTGGATAGTAACCCTTAAAATATGCTCCAGCCTGGGAGCTAAAAGCACTGGTAGTCAGAATTGTGTTCCACAAATTCTGTGTGATTAGTAGTTCAGAGAATACACAGACTTTGAAATCAGATTAACTGACTCAAACATAAATGTTAAAAGATAACAAATCCGAGACCCCCTACATCGTTAAATATGCCAACCTCTCTCAAAGCTTTTCCTAATATTCTACATAAGATTTGATATTTATGATCTATTAACCCAAACAGACCCCTGGTGGTACAGAGGTTATGCACTGGGCTGCTAACCACGAGGTCAGTGGTTAGAAAACACCCGCTGCTCCGCAGCAGAAAGATGAGGCTTCCTACTCTTGTAAGGAGTGAGAGCTTCAGAAACCCACAGGGGCAGGTCACTATGAGCCATAATTGATTCAATGGCAGTGAGGAAGATGTTAACCTAAGAGCTCTGGTAGCACAGTGGGTAAAACGCTTGCCTGCAAACCAGGAGGTCAGTGGTTTGAACTGAACAGCTGGTCCTCAAGAGAAAGATATGATAGTCTGCTTCCATAAGAATGTACAGCGTTGGGAATCCCATGAGGCAGTTCTCCTCTGCCCTGTAAGGTCACTGTGAGGAAAGATCGACTCAATGGCTGTGGGTTTGGGTTTTTTTGGTTAATGTTAACACATTATGAAAAATTCTTAAGTTATAGACGCTTTTCTAAGTAGTTACTAGCATTCCAACTTATTACCACATATTATTACAATTTATTCCAACTTACATATTGCTAGTCCAACTAAAGAAAAAACAGGAAAAAATTATGCCTATATTAGATTTATTTTTTGATCTTAATAAAATGGTTTTTGGACAAAATATTGGTTAAGAAGAACAATATCAGCAAATCTTATGCTTTCAACATACTTCATGTTTCTAGGCAGACTATAAGAGCACATTTTGGTATAATACACATATTTTGACAATTTATCGCTATCGTAAAAAAAAGGATGAAAAAACCTTCTTTATGGAAAAGCCATGAAGCAACAATTTTTTGAGAATTTCTATCTGCAACCCTTCCTGTGTGGCTTAAAACATAGCTCTCATTTACAGAGAGGACCTGGTTTCTTTTTTTCCCCTAAATCTACATTTATATTGACTAAAATGTACTCTAGGTAATACACTCTGATCAATTACTCACTGTTTGAGAGGTTTTAAAATTCAGGATACTAACTAGCTTGCTATTTGTTATTACATGGGATTCTCTAGACAACTCAGAAACTTATTAGCAATGACTGAATTTGTATTATGCGGAGGTGAGGATGTAAATTAACTTTTTGGATTTTTTCCCTGGCTACAATTGCTGATGATTGACTCCTAATTATTGGATTCCTAATGATTGATGCACCAAACTCACTGCCATTGAGCTTATTCTGGCTCAAACGAGCCCAGGAGGCATAGTGCTTAGGTGTTGGGCTGCTAACCACAAAGGCA